TTACCATCCAAACGACATGGATTGAGGTATATAATTCAAGATTAGCGGATGATTCGTGCAGAAATGACTGGGCATTTTCTACCGCCGACTCGAAGAGCAGTACTTCTTCGTCACACAAGTGTTCGATGTCAAACACAAAATCTTCAAAAATAAGAAATCACATGGATATTTAAGGTTCATACTTTGACAGAAAACAATCATTCGATGGAATAAAGCATATCAAACCTCATCTGAAAAATATTGATGCCATTTTCTAAACTAACGATGTGTTTGAAGTTCGGAAAACTGCACGTGTGAGCATTACTGAACTCTGTATGCAAAATCTATATTGTGTATGAAGCATTTTAATTCTCTATTGTTTGTTTTGATGATTGTTTAACTTGAAAAACTTAGACAAATCCAAAAATATGAACTGTCATTAGAAGGCTAAGGTACRCCTTTATGATGGCACAGAACACCAGATTTACAAATTAATGAAAAACACCAAATAAAAAAGAACAGAAACACAAGGACAACACGCGTAAAACGTCCGAATTCGCTTGCAAACAAGCTCTCCTATAAGAAAATGTTAAAGCTCTAGATTTCTTCTACTCTCCTTCGTCTTTCTATTATCTTTGTTACATATTGTTCATTGCAATTGGCTAGATATGAATGAGACTACATAAGGGTTTGTACGGCCCTGTTGCGAAAAGGCGTACGGCCCCCCATCACGTGACCATTTCCCGAAGGTTTTTTAAGAGCGTACTAGGGCCGAAATACGGGTCATATGATAAAGAAAATTATTTTCGAGTCAGTTATCATGTCATGATAGAGTTATTATGTGGAACATACACTTGAAATTTAATTTGCAAATTTCATTTACTGAACTTTGAGTTGGAGTTAGCTGCAGCTTCTTTTGGGMAAAAATAGTCAATCATTTCTGCAAATGGCCTATTTTCATAATAAGTACATGCATGAATAAGTACGGAATGACAGCGACTTAAGCCGTTTCAAGGACGTTTTTCTCGTTTTGATTTTTTTGAATATGCAATCACTAAACAGGTTGAATATGCATATTTAACCTCAAAACGTTAATACAATGCGAAAAATAAACTTTTTAATAAAGCACTGCTCGCATTGGGGGTGGAAGGGGAATATTTCAACTTAAGATATTCCGTATTCCGCCATTCTCCAGGCGTGAATATTCCCATTCCTTGATAATATTTCAGAGGATATTCCTTATGATTTTAGTTTTTAAGCAAGTAGATAAGTATTGATCGATTGAGAGCATCATTTGAGTAGAGTCTGTGTTTTAATTTCGTTTAATTCATAAATTTATTAGGCTGGCCGAGTAATTTCCTATCCTCGCTTTTGCTTGTGTTTCATGTGTGTTTTATTGAAATATTCCGCATTCCGTGCATTTTTCAGGGAATATTCCGATATTCAATATTCCCGATGCTCGCACAGCTAAGGTCGATAAGGGAGGGAGAGGATAACAGAAAAATGTTCATGTGGGGGRAAAATGTCTTGTAATTCGTTATGTCGCCGGTCTTKACTGCCGTTTTTGAGGTTGACTGTTAAAACAMAGCGACTTGACGGTTGAATTTTACCCACATTAATGCGGTTAACGTTTAACCCCATCGAGAACCTCTTTTTATTAAAATCGCCTATGGATTCGTGAATGCGATTTCTTTTATATCTCAGATAGCTGTCAGCAAGTAGATCTGATGTTGGTGTTGATGTCATAGATTAGCAATCACAGCTACAATCGTGACCYTTTGCATGACACAACTAGATTTAGTTAGAGCCTTTTATCATCGACATCGAAACACGTAYCAATAACCCGAGTTAGTATTTACTATCCGACGATTATTAGCGAAATATTGGTCCAAAATGATTTCTAAAAGTTTGGCTTCATCAGGATCTGATTGGGATGTGCTGAGAATCAAGAATACAGACAACAACAATAACTACATCAAAGACAATGGATATTCAAGAAGGATACTCCCAGCAGCAAAGAAAAAGCAGTCCAACATCAACGACTTTTTACTTGCAGTCGGCTCTAAACTGAGTGATAGCAAAGGCCCTTACACTGAGCTGGTGTTTAAACC